TATTTGATTGATTGACAACATACCCTTTATATTTTGCTGTATTTATTTTCAAATGGGTTATTTTGGATTAGGGTCTGGGTGGAGGACTGTGACTCAGTAAACCACCAAAAAACAATTTCATTTTTTTTCTTTTTCTTTTTTTTTTTGGTTTTTTCGAGACAGGGTTTTTCTGTGTAGCCCTGGCTGTCCTGGAACTCACTCTGTAGACCAGGCTAGCCTCGAACCCTCAAACTCAGAAATCCACCTGCCTCTGCCTCCCAAGTGCTGGGATTAAAGGCATGCGCCACCCCCACCAGGCCAAAAACAATTTCAAAGCTCAGAAAAAAAGTGAGGCCTAGAGAGATGGCTCAGCGGTTAAGAGCACTGACTGCTCTTCTAGAGGTCCTGAGTTCAATTCCCAGCATCCACATGGTGACTCACAACCATGCATAATGGGATCTGATGCCCTCTTCTGGTGTGTCTGAAGACAGCTACAGTGTACTCACGTATACAAAATAAATAAATAAATCTTAAAAACAAAACAAAATAAAACAAAACCCCAACGTGCAGGGGAGCTGAAAGTTGACCTCTGGATGCAGATTCACGTGCTTTAATTCATTATCGCTATCAAAGTGGGGGGTTGCAGGCCTGGCATCGAGGCGCAGACCTGTAACCCCAGGACTTGGGAGGTAGAGGAAATAGGCTTAGGAAAACAAAGTTCTCCTTAGCTACAAGTCTGAGTCTAGCTTGAGTTATATGAGAGCACGTCTCAAAGATCAAATAACAACATAAGGACTGCTGAGGAGAGATGTCTGTGTCGGTAAGGTGTTTGCCAAGCACATAAGAGGACCGAGGCTGGTACCCAGAACCCATGCAAAAAAGCTGGGCGACGGAAGCTGGGGAGATGGCTTAGTGGTTAGGAGTATTTGTTTGGTTCCCAGACCCATGTTGACTCATAATTGCCTGAGAGCCCACCTCCAGAGGACCTAAAGCATGCCCTCTCCTGGCCTCTGGAGCATCCGTACTGACATGAGCACTCCCACATAAATAAAGACAAAACAAAGTAAACGAACATATATAAATATATAGCTGGGTGTGGTAGCATGTGCTCGTAATCTCAGTGCCAGAGAAATGGAGACAGGAGGATTCCTCGGTCTCACTAACCAGCAGTCTAGTTGAATTGGCAAACCCTAGGTCCTAGTGAGATGTGGTTTCAAATATAACACAACACAACTAAACAGAGCAATCCAAGGTAGGTACCCAGAATAATAGTTAAGACTGACTTCTGGTATCCATAAGCATGCATGCATATGAACATCAGAAGGTACATGAACACCCCAACCATACACACCCTCTCACATACACTCAGATACATGCACACACAAACTCCAGGAAAGGAGATGCAAGGGCACTGTCAATATGTTCCTTCTCCTAAGTTTATTATTTAACAGGGGAGAAAAGATAAGCCAGCAAGCTTCCATCAGTGTTGGAGAGGTATTACAGATCATATTACATTTTACATTTGAGACAGAGTCTCACTCTGTAGCCAGGGTGGCCTGCAACTCACCCTGTAGCTCAGGTTGGCCTCAGCCTCACTGCAGTCTTGCTGCCTGTGCCTCCTCAGTGCTGGGATCACAGAGCAGCTGCCACACCCAGTTAATACAATCCCCTCATCTTACAAACAATGAAGCTTTAGAATATAAGTGGCAGCACAGTGTAAGGATGCTTGATAAAATGAGCAGCGGGAGGGGGACTTAAGGAAGAAAGTGTGGTGCTAATTACATCTACTCTAAATGAAGGGGGTGTGGAGGCTATGATTTTATAATCCCAGCAACCAGGGGGCTGAGGCAGGAGAAGTGCAATGAGTCCAAGGCCAGCCTGCGCTAAAAGTGAGCTGGTGCCTCCAAAACACAAAAGGAAGGGATGGAGGGAGGGAGGGAAGGAAGGAGAGGGGTAGAGATGGAGGGAAGGAGGAAAGGAAGAAGGGGAGAGAACAAAGGAAGGAGGAAGGGCATTTATATATGAGGAATCAGTGTAGTTTGTCCAGGAGGCAGAAATGAGTTTGGTAAGAGGAAAGGGCTCAAGCTGACATTTTTTTAGATCTTTCTCTCTCTTACGTACGTGCACGCACACACACAGACACACAGACACACACACAGACACACACACACACACACACACACACACACACACACACACAGTCTCACACAGTACAGGCTGTCCTTGAACTCTTCCCTCAGTGCTGGGATTACAGATGTACCACAAAGCCTGGCTGTGGAGTGGTTTTAAATCTAGCCCTATCTGTCTGTCAACATGGAGATGACAGCAGCCAGAGCCAGGGCACGGCTTTGAATAGCGACTTTGGAACTTGACCCTTTGTGGCTTCACTGCTTCTTCAGTTTGCTCTGGTTCTAGGAACTGGGTCTAGAGCCTGGTGTGCAGAAGGCTGGCCCAGCATCCTGTCACTCAGCTACCTTCCTGCTCTGTACTGCTTTCCTTAGAAGGCGTTTTAGGCATTTCTTTCCTAATTGCCTCCCTAAAGAAATTTTAATACAAAGCCACTCTGGATTATTTACAAGGCAAAAGTAGTATACATCTAATGACTACTGCTAGTTACTAGCTATAGTTAATTAGTTACCACAACTACTGCTGGTTAATAGCTGTTGCATTTTGTCAACTTCACTTTACAAACGGTAAGCCAGTACATGTCACAACTCAACAAAGATTGACTTCATGTGTTTGGCACTGAGAAAGCCAGGGCCGATTTGAAACCCTGTATGCACTCCTTCAGTGGAAGTGCCTTTCTTCAGTGACTCCAAAATGATGCTTAGAAATGAAAGAAGGAAAAGTACCCTCATCCCTGGGCTAAACTAAGTGGCAACCCCGTAAACAGAAGAGCAGAGAGCCAGATCTCCAAGCAGCACGGAGCACGGGTAACAGGAAGTTGCCAGGACGCAGTAGAATGGAGGCTTTATTATTTCCCAGTCCCAGGTATGTCACTGTGGTGGAGAGAGTACTTGCTAGTATACGTGAGGCCTTGGGGTCCATCTCTAGCATGGTCAAACGAAACCACTATGCCTCAAACCAAAACAGGCCAAACAAACAAACAAACAAACAAAAAACCAACAGTGAGGCAAAACAACTCCCCCCATCCCGCCAAAAAAAAAAAAAAAAAAAAAAATCCAAAACCCATAATGCTATGATGCTATTGTGTTTTGGGAAAGATAAAGTGTTAAGAGAAAAATTTATACACAACGACAAGAAAGGGTTCAAATACACATTTGAAAATTCCTTTTAGGTGACAGCCTCACTCTGTAGCACAGGCTGGCCTGGAACTCGCTGTCTTGAACTTATAATTTCTGAATTAATACAATCCATCACATTAAGAGGCTAAAGGAAAATGATACAATCATGTCAAGTGCAGAGATACTGACATGATACTGAAGAATACGATTCAAATGAGACTGGTACCCATGAGTCAAGACAGCATGGTGCCCCGACTCATGGACGGTGAGAAGGCAGGGGTTCATTGATATTAGACTCTGCTCTGTGAGACAGTGGGAAGGGGATGAAGCACAAACGCCAGGAAGAGTGAACATCTTCGTAGAGGTGTCTAAATCTGTGAACCAGAACATACAAAGAACTCCTAGACCTCAACAGGAAGACAGACAATCCAATTAAAAATGGAAAAAAAAGCCGGGCAGTGGTTGCGCACGCCTTTAATCCCAGCACTTGGGAGGCAGAGGCAGGCGGATTTCTGAGTTCGAGGCCAGCCTGGTCTACAGAGTGAGTTCCAGGACAGCCAGGGCTGCACAGAGAAACCCTGTCTCGAAAAACCAAAAAAAAAAAAAAAAAAAAAAGGAAAAAAAATCTGGACTCCACAGAATAACTAAGGAGCACAAACAGAGCGAGTGACCACAGGAGAAGCTGCTTATCGTCAGATGGCTGGGGGACTTGGAGAAAGACAAAAAGGAACCCCTCCCTCTATTAGAGTAGTCAGTCCTCACCCCCAGATCCACAGTACGAATGCTGGTGAGGAGAAGGAACGAGACCACGAGACGGGAAGCTACTTTGGTTGGCAGTATGTTTGTCTCTTATAAAACTAGACAGTCACCATCTTAGCCAGCAACCATGCTCCTCGGTGTTAGCCAGACTGAGCTGAGAATTCTGTCCACACAGACTTGCACATTCATGTTTACGGCAGTTTTATTTACACCCTGGAATATTACTCGGCAGTAAAAATAAGCTATGACGTCATAAAAAGACACAAAGGAACCCAGGATGCATAGTTCTGAGTGAAGAGAAGCCAGTCTGAAGAGTCCATGCATTGTATGAGCCCAACACCATGGCAGTTAGGAAAAGACAAGAAGATGACGAGTTGCCAGAGACTCAGAATGGAGGGAGGGGTGGGGAGAGGAGCAGGTGAACCGTGGTGGGTTTCAACCCAAATGGTGAACACGTCAGTATGTATTTGTCCAAACCTGTAACATGCAGAATGAAATCTTAACGTGAACCATGGACCAGAGTGAAATTAGTAGGGGATGCTTGTGTGTGTGTGTGTGTGTGTGTGTGTGTGTATGTGTGTGTGTGTAACAAGTGTACATGGAGGAACATAAGTGACTGTACATCTCCTGCCTCACTCTCTGTCAATCTAAGCCTATACTAAAACACGACCCTATTGTTAGAAAGTAAAAGCAAAGGGACTAAAGTAACTCCTTTAGTAATAATTTCCAAAGTACTATAGTTATTGGAGAGATGGCTCAGTGGTTAAGAACACTAGCTGTTCTCCCGAAGGACCTGGGTTCAATTCCCAGCTCCTACATAAAGATTCACAACCTCTCTAACTTCAGTTCTGGGAGAATACAATGCTTTCTTTTGATCTCTGAAGGTACCAAGCACGCATGTGGTGCACAGACATACATGCTGGCAAAATAACCATACATATAAAATAAACCTACGAAACAAATTAAAGGGGTATTATATATGCCTTGATAGAAGCCATTTCAAACAAATTAATATATGGAAAATAGAAAATGTTTTATTATATTATACTTGGCTACTCTTTTTGACCTTAATATCAGGTACAAAGCATGTTTCAGTTTGTAGAAAACAGAATATACTCATTTAAAGCATCCACTAACACTTGAACTTCCCCTCGTACACCCGAAGTACTGAGTTAAATGCCTTCTCAGAAACTACTTTTTGTTCCACGTCAGCTACTTTCCGCTGTGGATTCTGGAGTGCGCACTTGCAAAGCTTTGCTCTTACTGATCGTAGTTTACGGAGGTATCTATGATGCTCTCCGACATGAGCAGATCTTTGCCCCCACCTTCAGAGGCAAACAACCATGCTTTCACCTCTGCTCTGGAAGTTTATGGGCAAGCTTTAGCTCCATAGACATGGACAGAAACACAGATCTGACAGGTGACATCCACATCGGGACTGAACGTTCCAGGACTACAGACCACTACAAGGGAAACAAACACAGGCTGTCAGCCAGTAGTTTACGGACACCGTGTATCAACAATAGAAATAGTTTCACCGTTTCTACACAGGCTACCCACACCTGCTTAGCCAACTAGGTGGTAAAGATTACCTCAAACTGTGTAATGTGATAATCTTAAAAACAAGAGCGTTAGACTACTGTATTTTCCTTTCTATCAGCATTTGTGAGACTTCTCCATGCCTCATTTGTAAGTGCCTGTCTGCAGTTTCTCCCCTCTGCCCCCCAGCCCCGTTTCCCAGGCAGGCCCAGTCTTCTCTCCTCCACAGAACGGCATCATCTGTCAGAACACTATGGAAATGTTTTGTAATACAAGAGCGAACAGTGCGAAGGCTATACATTCGGATGATTATTTATAGAACTTTGGGCTTTCAAGATTTTTACTTCTCTTTTCTGTGGAAGAATCGATGAAAAAGATTCAGCTTAATCGTCTCTGGACTATACAGACACTTAGGTATTTGTATTTTATAATTACCGCAACAGCTGGCACAGTTGCTGTGGAGAGCCTCATTTTTCCCAAAGCCTGGCCGGCAGTTGTCTATCCGTATCACTTGGAAACTGTGGTCGATGAAGTGCATGGCTGGGATGGTTCTGTTGACGTGATGGTGCAGAATGTCTGCTTGGCTCCGGAAGAACTCTTCTAACCGATCTCTTGCCTAAGATTTAGACGTACCAGAGAAGATTAGGATTGCTAAATTCAATAATCAAAATCCTTCTCATGAATCACAGGCCGTAAATGACAGCAGAAATATTTCTTGCTTATGGGGGCAAGAGGCATTGGATGAAGTCCTGAAAATCTATGTGAAATCCTAAAATCAGTGCCTTTGGCTTTACCAACTATTGTTAATTTATACATGGAGTGGCTAAGGGAAACAGTTACAAAAACTTGTTTTGGGGGGTGGGGGAGCTGAGGCTGGAGAGATGGCTCACCGGTTAAGAGCACTGACTGCTCTTCCAGAGGTCCGGAGTTCAATTCCCAGCAACCACATGATGGCTCACAACCATCTGTGATGGGATCTGATGCCCATACGTATACTCATATACATAAAATAATTTTAAAAAACTTGTTTTGGGGGGGAGGACAGATGCCTCAATTGGCCAAAAACTTTCCTTGCTTGTAATCTCAGTGCTGGGGAGGTGGAGCCGGAAGGATTCCTGGGGCTTTGCTTGTCAGAATGTAGTCTTATCAGCCAGAGTTGTACTGCAGCCTCAACACAGCCCCATGGACCTGCATACGCACAAGCGTGCACACAAACACAGCCCCATGGACCCCCCCACCGCAACAGAAAAAGAGACAAGGGGCTGGAGAGGTGGCTCAGCTGTAAAGGGCACTGGCTGCTCTTCCAGAGGTCCCGCAAGGCAGCTCCCAACTGTCTGTAACTCCAGTTCCAGGGGGTCGATCATATGTTCTATTCTGGCCTCCTCAGGCGCTAGGCATGCATACAGCACACAGACACACATGCAGGCAAAAACTCATACACAGAATACAGAAATGAAAAATCAAAAAGAGCCAAATAAAATAGAAATCAAGGCTTTAATCAGCATTACAAACTGGCTATGTGAATCTGGTTTTAGGACAATCTATAATAATGACTAAACTTAACCAGGTACTTCTAAACCACACAAAACATTACAGGCATGGACTCGGGAATGAGACAGGAGAGGACAGACATTTTTCTGACTGTGCCCTCAGTCTCTGGAGTCCGTCGTAGGACAGCAACTGCCACATTTTCTATAGATGCTACTTTGGAAGAACCACAGATTTAACCTGTGGTAACTTGATTGTGAAGTTTTTCTTCAAGCTATTGCTTAACCATTCAGAAAGTGAGGCCTGGCAACGGTGGCTCACACCTTCGATCCCAGCACTCTGGAGGCAGAGGCCAGCCTGCTCTGCAGACCTAGTTCTAGGACAGAGCTACACAGAGAAGTCCTGTGTAAAATCCTGTGTAAAATCCCCCAAACAAACAAACTAACCAGGGACCCACCTTTCTGCTATAAATGAAATACACAACAGGAGCCTGGGAGCTATCTAATATTCCAGAGGCATCATTACCAAAAACCACACGCTGACATAGAAACAATTTCCATTCAAAAGACTGAATCAGGCGGTGAGATGGCTCAGGTGGTGAAGGTGCTTGCCGCCATGCCTGATGACCGGAGTTCCATCCTGACATCCACGTACTGGAAGGAGAGAACTGACTCCTAAAGTTTGCCAAGAAATTTATCTCTCTATGTGTAAGTGTTTCTCCATTATAAAAACATCTGGGGGTGGTGAAGACGGCTCAGTGGTAAAGGCATCTGCCTAGAACCCAGACGACTGGATCTGAACCCACACAGAGGAAGGAGAGAACCAATTCCTGCCAGCTGTCTTCAAATGTTCACATGTGTGCTATAACATGTAAGTGTGATGTACACACACAAAAATATAATTTAACAAATTTAGAAGAAATAAATTTAAATTATTCCTTAAAAACTATATATATATATATATATATATATATATATATATATATATATATATATATATATAGTGTGTATACACATATGTAGGTGCATGCACACCACGGTTTGCATGTGGAGGTCAGAATTTCTCTTTTCTTTTGAGATAGGTTTTCATGTAGCCCAGGCTGGCCTTGAACCCACTGTGTAGCTGAAGATGACCTTGGACTGCTATTAATAAGATAAAGTATTTACCAAAAGCTTTGTGGGTCCCCAGCGCTTTCCCCTTGACATGGGAGCTCACCTTAAGGATATTGTGATTGGTGATGTCTTCACAGTCGGCAGAGTGGTTGCACATACTTTTCCAACCCGGTGCGAAAGGATTCACTGGAGAGGAGAACATGAGAGGTACACACCCACTTCTAAAAAGTGCCAGCCCCTTCAGTAGAGGCCCGAATGTTTTGGTTGGCATGCAAGCACACACCCGTTTAACACAGCCACCTCATCAGAACAGTAAAGCGAGGCATACAGTTTGAATAGCACATGCGCTGTGTCTTTACTCCACCTGGGGGCTAACAGGAGTAACTACAAGGCTTCAAAATAGAATATATTGCGTCTCGTTACTCCCTCGTTAATTCCTCAAAAACAGAAACTATAAATCATCGTTCCGGCCGGGCGGTGATGGCGCACGCCTTTAATCCCAGCTCTTGGGAGGCAGAGACAGGCAGATTTCTGAGTTCAAGGCCAGCCTGGTCTACAGAGTGAGTTCCAGGACAGCCAGGGCTACACAGAGAAACCCTGTCTCGAAAAACCAAAAAAAAAAAAAAAAAACAAAAAAAAAACCAAAAAACAAAACAAAACAAAAAAAAAATAGTTCCTAAAATTCTATAAGAAATTGTAAGCAGAAACTTAGCTGCATGATTGAAAGTTATGTCAATAAAATGATATTGACTTTAAATAAGAAGCAATATATTATAACTTCTTGAAGGGAGGCTGACTTTAAAATCACAACCAGGCACTAGTAGTATAGATTAGTGCTTAGCAAACACTTCAAACTTATTCTGTGTAGGAGACATCTCATACTTACATGGCGATTAATTTTATAATCTATTATGGTTTTGAATTAAAGCCATAAAATTAACATTGTAAAATTGTTTCACCTTGAAAGGCTATGAATAGCTCATACACGAAGTCCCTGTCCGGAATTTTAACAAAATGGCACTTGTATGATGGCTCTATGACATGGCACAACAAATCCGAGATTAAGTTATCCAAGATTTTCTTCAGCACTCTAAAGAGCAGGTCATTATATCTTCCTACACAAGAATTTGTGGTAAAACGCACAGCCATGTGATAAGAATAATCAGGCTCCCGATAGGCTTTAGGGAAAGATGAGAATAAAAACAGTTGTGTCTTGCATTAATTTCTGCTGTTTTTTTTTTTTTCAGAAGCATGTAACATTCAACATGATTAATCTTGCAAATCAGTTTCAAAATTGAACTTATCTAGTAAAACATTCCATTGGTCTGTTAACACAATACATATATTTTAAAAAACCTTGTCATTGTCATTAAATGTCTATCTACTTAGGAGAAATGGCTACAATGTAGATACGGGTAGGTTCATAGTGTCAAAAAGCCACTGGGGCTGAAGAGATGGCACAGCAGTTAAGAGCTGTGGTTCCCAGCCTCCTCCATCAGGTGCCCTCTGCTGGCCTCTGCTGGCACCTGCACTCACATGCACATAACACATGCACACACACAGACACATCATAAAATAAATCTTAAAATGTAAGGATGTTTTTGGGGCACCGGAAAGATGGCTCATGTACTTATATTATTTTTATATAAATATATTATTACCGAAGACCAGAAAGTCATATTTCTTCTTTATTGTAGTTTCTTCTTGGGTTTCTGCTTTGATAGTCTTATAGGAAAGAGTACATGAGTAACGTCCAGATAATGACTCCATAAAATTCTTCAGTACCAGTTCTCCTGTGTTTGTTATATTTATTTGGCTATTCACTAATCAGAAAGAGGAAATCGCTTGGTTATTCAACAGGTAACTTAAACATTATTCAGTAAACTCAGGGCTATAAGCATACATGCAAAAATTCAAAATTAATAGGCTATTTGAATTTTAGGAACCCAATAATTTTTTTTTTTAAAGACAGGGTCTCATTGCATAGTCCTGGCTGGCTTAGAACTTGCTATGTAGATCAGACTGGCCTTGAACTCACAGAGATCTGCCTGCCTCTGCCTTCTGAGTGCTGGGATTAAAGGCGTGCAGCACCATGTCCAGCAGCTCAGGGGGGGAAACCCTTAACTGTCATACTACTCTATGAAAGAGCTACATGAGCTGGGTACACTTGTGAAATATATGCTGATTTTCTTTATTTCTTGGCATTTAGTTTTGACTGATTTATACCAGTAATTCAGTAAATTATATATCCATACATATTTGTGTGTTTATATAATTAAATTTATATTTTAGATTTGCACACACACACACACACACACATATACACATGCACACACATACATGACAAATTAATAATGCTGATATCCTAAGGTACTATTCTAACATACAAATTACTTATCAAATATCCCACATGGATATTCATGGGTAAACTTTAATACTTATGAAAATTTTTAAGTAGGGCCCAAAAATAACTGCCTCAGGGGAGCCTGACAGCACAGAGGAAAACGGCTTGAGAGGGAGACTCTGGATTCAGTCCCAAGCACTGGGAAACAAAAGTAACAAAAAGCACTCTCTCTGGTTAATCCAGGCCACCTTCAAACTTGTAATCCTCCTGCCTCAACCTTTTGAGCATTGTGCTCACATGGCCTATGTGGTCTTTTGCATCTGCTTTAGTTTTTGCATAGGAAGAGCTTAAGTCACAGGCCAAGAAAAATTATAATTTGTCTAAGTGTTGAGAAAATTTAATTGTAGTTAAAATTAAATTTACTGGGGATGGAGAGATTGCCCAGTGTTTAAGAGTACTTGTTGCTCTTGCAGAGGATCTGGGTTCAATTCCCAGCACCAACAAGGTGGTTTACAACCAGTGGTAATTCCAGTTCCATGGTATGAGATATCCTCTTCTGACCTCTGAGAGCATCGGGCAAGCCTGTGGTGCACATACATGCATGCATGCAGGCAAAACGCTCACATATACAAAAATGCATTGAACAGAATTTTAAAATTAAATTTGTTCTTTTCAATAATGGCAGCGCTTTTAAAAAACAATGTTCACACCATCAAAATATATTTAAATTATTTACCTGCTAATGTGCTTCCATTTGGCCCAATCCATAAGTAGGTGGGGTCCACCGTTTCTTTATTAGCACGATCAATATCCATACAAATAAGGACAGGGCTAGTCTGATGTAACTTTATATATATTTTTACTGTGACAAAATAAAATTCTGCATAATTACATTATACAGTAAAATAAAGACACGCACTCTTAGACAACGATACCAATTAGTTTCTTCTGGATTTCAGTACTTAAAAGGTCTTCATAACATGTTGGATGCTAGTTGTCATTTAGAATGAAGTCCTTTTTGCTTCCCATAGTAAGCCTTTAAACTGTACTTTGTCGGTAATATTTTTCTTTATTTTGTGGCAGTCTAGAAAAATGTAGATTGTTTTTTTAATGTACACATTAATAAATGGCTCCAATAAGGAGCTATTGAAGGGATCATGGAATTAAATGCTCACAGGATGGGAGATTGACTGACAAACTATTGCAAAACTGAAAGGTTGGTATTTCACATAAACTTCCTGTTGTCCCGTGCGGTGCTTACTAGAAAGGTGTACTGCAGTGGTCTACAGTGACTCAATTGGATAGTACATGGTCTCACAAGATATTTATTTTAAGGCCCAATCATGGCCAGGATCGGACAAAGCCTATAGTACAGTTTGGCGGGCCAGTAGTGGTGTTGGGAAGGGAAAGGCCTTAAATGTAGAGCTGTTCTAAACGGAATGCAATGTAGTAGACCAAAGTTATTTCAAAGTTGGACCACTACTTTTTCCTGAGTGTAGGAAAACTACAGAGAGTAGTAACACTGGAGCTGAAACTTGATGGATGAATTGGGCTGGTTAATACAAGAAGGAGAGAAGAGCGTTCCAGAGGGACGTCCATCCCGCTAAGTGGCTTCAGCCATTACAAAGCAGAAGTATTTGAGAGAGAGAGAGACGTGGTATCAGAGCAGTAGATCTGTGGTGAATACTGGAACACAAGACTAGCTTTGAGGGCAATGTTGCAAACTTCCCGAACTGCAGAGCACAGAAGCCCTCCTGCCTAGCTCCCTTTTCCCTACTTGAAGAACCTAAGCGGGTGCATCCCCAGCTCTTGGGACAGACATTGCGTTAGAACGTGAGAAGAGGCACGTATTACCTGGGTGCCCTACCATTCCGTAAACAAAGCCTTTGTTACTGAATAAGGAAGAACGTTGCGATCCAACTGCGGAGGAAAGAAAACCTCTGACTTATTAGTGTTTGGAGCACCCACGGTTCAGGGAAGGGCAGGGCGGGGCGGGGCGGGAGACGAAGAAGGCGGGACGGGGGAGGAGCCTGCGGGCCAAGCCCCACCTCCTGCGAGAGACCAGAGCACCGCGGAGAGCAGGGCCCACGCGAGCATCACGGCTCAGGCACTAGCGGCGACAGCTGGGCGCCCTCCTATCTCAGGCCAGGCCCAACGCCTCCCCATCGCTCCTCTACAGAGCGAAGCAAACCGCCGAGGGCATTTCCCCTACCGGTCCCAGGTTACCACGGGGGCGGCCGTGCCCGAGAGCGCCTGCGTGTTCTGGCTGGGCACGAGGGGCGGGGCAAGCGCTCGCGGATGGAGAGCCCCGCCTCCCGGCGCACGCGCAGTTACGGAGCGCTGCACCCTCCGAGCCTTTCGCGCCTCGCCTCGGGTGCTCACGCGCCCTAGCATTAGTCCGCCTGGTGGTGTGAAGAGAAGAGTAAAGGAAGTGAACTCAAAACTTCCGGGACTTCCTCAGACTAAGGGCTAAAGGATCTGATGAGAGAACACAGTGGATCCCAGGGACGGTGGTGGTGGCGCCGAGCAGCCCGAAGATGCCATAGTTTGGGGATCTAAAGAAGGGAAAAGTTTGTGAGAATATCTTAAAAGCGAGGGCTCAGCTCGGGAACCCCCTAGTGATGCTAGCGTTGCTGGATCTTTCAAAACGTCACACCCAGTTTTTACCTAATTGCATTATTTTGGCACACAAAACCAAGACCTTGAAGCCTTCTGAGCTTCAGAAGGGTGCCCTCAGACCTTCCCACGTGGAGGAAGGTTAAACCTTTATTTTTCAACTTAGAATGTGAGATGATGTAAGGGACACCCCCTCATGCAAATTTATTCGGAAGTAACTTTGCTTTAGAAAACGGGCCCCATCGAAAGGCAACAGCTATGATCTTTTCCTCAGCTGATGTGAGATAAGTCACTATCCGGGAGCTTCAAAATAGTCTTTCAAAGTTCTTCTGAACCCCGTGCTGGGGACCAAACCCAGAACCTTTGCAGAATTGAATCGTTAACCCCATCATGTGTGGTCCCATCTTGACTACTATTTTAGGTGTCATGAAAGGCCCTATGTGTTTATCTCTTAGCAGTAGAACACCACCCTCAGTAGTGGTTTTGAGTAGGTTGGTTAGGGAGAGAGCCCAAGGTTCAGATAGGGTGCAGAATGGTTATTTGGGGTGAGATCAGGAGTTTTCAGTTTTATTTCCTTTGAGCCGAGTCAGTATTTGGACTGTCTCAGATGGTCCAGGAGCAACCTTTGTCAGTAATTTCATTTTTAGTCACTGTTAATTTTATCTCTATAGCACAGGCATGAAATGGGATCCAATGAGTCAGATCCACCCCATGTCAGTTACTACGTCTAGACTCATGGGTTAGCCTCAACTGTTGAAAACGTGCATGGGTGTTTTGCTTGCATTTCTGTCTGTGTACCACAGGCATGCACTGCCCACAGAGGCCAGAAGAGGGAGTTGGCTCTGGGACTGGAGTAAAAATGGATTGTGAGCAGCCATTTGAATGCTGGGAATCAAACGTGGGTCCTTTAGAAGAGCAGCCAGTGCTCATAACCGCTGAGACACTTCATTTCAGATTTAATCAAAACATTTTTCAAATTTACAAAGTAGTACTAACTTCTCAGTTATTGCACAGGATCCTCATAAACTTACGTGTTAAATTTTAACTCCTATGAGAAGAGTGTTAGAATAGTTGAGCTGGAGAGATAGCTCAGTGGTTGAGAGTTTATATGCTTTTCCAGAGGGCTCTAGTTTTACCCAGCTGGGTAGCTTACAACACCATTTTAACCTAGTTCCAGGTGATCCAGTGCCCTCTTCTGGTCTCCATGGATGCCTGCATTCACGTGTGCTTACTTTCTCCACCCCTCCCATATACACATAACTAAAAATAAAACCTTTAGCCCGGTAGTGGTAGCACATACCTTGAATTCCAGCACTCAAAAGGCAGAGGCAGAGAGACAGGCAGAGAGGCAGAGAGGCAGAGAGGCAGAGAGGCAGAGGGAGAGGCAGAGAGAGGCAGGCAGATCTCTGAGTTTTAGGACAACCTAGTCCACAGACAGAATTCTAGGACAGCCAGGGCTACATAGAGAAACCTTGTCTCAAAACAAACAAAAAGAAAAGAAATGAAAAGAAAAAAATAGTAGTGTGTGTTTTGGAAGTATTCATGTAATCTTTTGATGTAAGCTTTGTTTATTTATTTTATGACAGGGTCTCTCTGTGTATCTCTGGCTGGCCTGGAACTTGTTGAGTCCAGGTTGGCCTCACAGAGATCTGCCTGCTCTGCCTGGAATCTACTGGAATTAAAGGCATGTGGCATCATGTCCAACAGCCCAGACAAATCTTGTCATATAGCTCTATGGAAAAGCTACATGAGCTGGGTACACTATGAAATCTATATTGATTTTCTTTATTTCTTGACAACTCATTTTGACTGATTTATGTCTGTAGTTCAGTATATGAGAGAGAGTTTTACACAAGACAGATTAATAATGCTGATATCACAAGGCACTATTCCAACATGGAATATTACATATTGATGCTTGGCACAGATGTGCACTTGAGCAATCCTTTTCTTTTCCTTTCTTTTCTTTTCCTTTCTTCCTTTTCTTCTTTTCCTTTCTTTTTATCAAGAGGAATCTCTCTGCATAGCCCTGGTTGTCCTGGAACTTGCCTTATAGACCACATTATCCTGAAACCCAGAGATCCTCCTGCCTCTGCCTCCCAAGTGCTGGGATTAAAGATGTGCACTTCTATGCCTGGCATAATACAACATTGTTAAAGTTCATATTTTTATATTTCCTGAGTTTATCTGCACCAGAGTCACATCAGGCTTTTGTACCACATTTAGTTGTGCTGTCTCCTTAGACTCTTCTGGGCTGTTGACAGTTTCTGGGACTTCTCTTGTTCTCTTTCTTCTCTTGTCCTTCTTTTCCTTCCAGTTGTTGTTGACTTTGACAGTTAATGACTGCTTTGATGATCCTGACTCAGCCTTAAATAATCAAGTATTTTGTGGAAAGCCTCTCTTGGACTTTGCTTGATGGTTTTTCTCATCACTGCATAGAATTGTAGAGTTTTGTAAGCACAGCAGCAGAAAAGTGATGTTTCCCAATACATTCTATCACGGATACATACTAACATCATGTTTTATCGTTTTTTTTTATGTTAAGTGTGTTCACCTGGCTAAAGGAGTGTTTATCAGGTTTCTCCATATAAGGTTACCCCCCACCCTCTATACTGTACTGTTTGGAAGGATGCTACTATATGTACCCTGCACTTAAAGAAGAGAGATTTGTGCTCCACCCACTTGAGGGTAGAATTGCTACATAAATTGTTGTACCCCTCTGCTTTTAGTTTGTCCCTTCGAGTATCTGGAGAGTCTGGAGTAGGCAGCAGCGAACCGCATGGTAACAGTTTACTGTTACATATAGAGAACATTGTAACAGAAAAACCCCACGTTTCTCTCTGTCTTTTAAACAGCCAATTAACTATTCATCCTTATCATTCCCGTGAAAGTTTACAGTTCCTCTTCTGCTACTTTTGATGTGCTATTTTTGCTTTTAGAAACTCACAAACAACAAATTTCCCCTTTCAGTACTAAAATTAAACCTTAGTGTTTATTAAACCTTTGTACATCTCTGAACTCCGTGTTGTCCTGCAGAACTCTAACTCATGTCAGTGGAGATGCTGCTATGGCTCTGTGATCTCAAAGACAGTGGGAGGCACTCTGTTATATATGCATGTGCACACAAACAGAGTATAGAGAGTTCACAGACTGCCTCTGCACCAAGGCACTAGTTAATGTGAACTTAGGTTCATAAAATTTCAGTGTGCTTGCTGAGCTCAGGAGTATGATTTTCTTCAGATATGGATGACTGATGTACAGTTCTCAACCTTACATCTCGTGTGTGTGTGTGTGTGTGTGTGTGTGTGCACGCGCGCGCGCGCACACACACACACGCGCGCAGGTGTCTATTGGTCTTTTTGAGACAGAGTCTCTCTATAATAAAGCCCTGGCTGTCCTGGAACTCAATGTGTAGATCAGGAAGACTTCAAACTCATGGAGATTCCCTTGCCTCTGCCTCCCCAGTGATGGGATCAAAGGTGTTGTTGCATCTCTCCGTACCTGGCTTCAAATATATTTGTATAACTAACAAGACGATCGAAGTGGGATCACTCCTTCAACACCGTTGGCACCGTTACAAGTGCCCATCTGAGCCCTGTCTCTTAGGACTTCGGTGTGATGAACTGCTGTGTTTTGAAAAACTGTTTTGCCTTCACTTCCCCTTTCCCCTCCCTACCGTCAAGTGTTTTCCTCTATAAAGCGTAGATGATGGGAAAGGATGTTGATTGGTATGCCTCTGTGAACCAACACCTTCCCTTGATTTAGTCCTTCCACCCCACAGCTCTACTATCTACTCTTCTGACACATCATACGTGGATTTTTGTAAAGTGTCCTATTTAGAAGAAAGAAGATTCGTAGGAAATGAACACACATACATACGTACTGCTGTCTTTTTTTGAGTGCTGGCAAATCAACCAGTTCTCAGAAAGGACAGCAAAATGAAAGAATTGTCCCCTCAAGTTAAAAAGTTGGAGAGCCGTAAATGCCAACGTATTTTTGAACTATCTATAAATCTGAACCAAGGACTTTTTAAAGTTTGTTTTCTGAGAAATGGCTCCTACTGTAGTCTGAGGCTGGCCTGGTATTGATGGCAATCCTCCTGCCTCAGCCTCTCAAGTGCTGGGATCATAGTGGTGGGCCACCTCACCTCAACTGGAGTGAACAACCGAAGGGCAGGGAATGGGGAGAAACTCCATAAATAACTCAACGAAGTGAATTCTCACTGACAGTTCTCATGACTGTCATCCCTGAGTCTAGATAAAAAAGTTCCAGGTCCTTCCGTGTCAGGCAAATCTGGAAGTTGGGCTTGCGCACACCACACCGCTCTCCTTGCGACAGCGCCCTCATCCCCAGTGTTTCTCAAGTAGACGTCCCGAGACCGTCGCTGAGGCACTGTTTCCACGCGATCAGGGTTCCTCAGGCTTGACATTCAAAAGTGGGTTGAGGGTGCGGAACCCGCGGCGCTCCGAGCGTGCTTTAAGGCGGCCGCCAGCCAGCGCCGCTGTAACCCCGCTCCCCGGCTGCCCGCGGCTCCCGCCCTGCATCTGCGCCGACGCGACCGAGCGATCCCTGGGCCTCCCCGCGCCAGGAATCTCCCGCCAGCCGCGCGGGTCCCCACGGCAGCAGCACGTGGAGCGACCGCGGAGCCTGAGCGACAGCTGCAGCCCGCGCGGCCCGCGGCGACATGGAAGGTGAGCTCGGCGCGGCTGCCCTGGGGGCTTTGAGCAGCCGGAGCGGTGCGCTCGCTCGGAGGCTCGGCTTCCTTCTGAATCTCGGTTTTGCTTCTATTTATTTCTTTTAATTTAAATGCGTGTCCGCTCTCAGACACCCCCTCCCCCAACTTGGGAAAGTGCAAAGTTCTCTTCAGTTTTATTTCTTGGAGGCTGTGAGACGGGGCATATGTATGGATCACCTTAAATCTGCAAAAGAAGAACAGACTTGGGGTGTCTCTGAGTTTGGCACCAAGCCTGGGATGGAATAATCTTTTTTTTTCTCCCGGGGGAAGGGAAGGACGCTCAGTGTCCTAGGAATTAGGTTAATCTGAGTTACTTGTGGCTACTTTTTAGTAATGTGACTTTTCTGTGAATTCTGTCTTAGGGGCTAAGGGCACATTTGAAAATGATTAGCAATTGCACTTAGTTACCTTGGAAATCAAGCTTCTATATGAACTTAAAAAAAAAAAAACCCAAAAACCCCGAAACAAAAATAAGGCTCACGTTAAGGATTTCATTTGAGTTCATTTCGGAAGTTACAGCTTTGCTTCTCAGAAGCTTCGCAGTGTGAACTTCCTTAAGATAAGTGCAATTTCACATTTTCAACCAGTGTTTCTAAAACTCTGAAGATGGAAGATGTGGCTCAACTTTGGGGGAGGAGAGGTGGCCTTGAGAAAATCACAAGTTGAGCGTTGCATTCGTTTAAAAGAGAGAGCGATACTGACCCCTAATTAAAGTGTTTGTCTGATAAATATGAATGTCACAGTTATTTTCTTCGTGATGGTTGAAGAATCAATCTCTTTTAAAATATGAACCTTGATCTTTTGGCATCTTTATTTAGTTCTAGTGTATGTGAAGCTATAACTAGTTTGGAACTCAGTTAAATATGATAAAGGTTTTGTTTTATAATGCAATTGAGTGGAACACTGCCCCTTATTCTCAGCTTGTGCGTGATGTGCTGGCTAGATGCGGCCTTTTCTCCTCCTTCTTCTCCTTTTCTCCTTCTCCTTCTCCTTTTCTCCTTTTCTCCTTCTCCTTCTTCTCTTCTTCCTGCTTTGACTAATTTAAACATTTTTTGTTCAGTAAAATGTCAAGTGGTAATGCAATGAACAGAAACTTTTAAATGTCCACTGTTGAATGATGCTTCAAACATTTTCTCTTGTGAAAAAATAAATCTGTATACTCCTAATGTTTTTAATGGACAAAGTTAAAAAAAATAACTTCAAAGTATTTTGACATTTAAATAATGATCTATGAAGTGTAGTATTTTACATGTAAAAGTTTCCTCATCCAAGAACAGACAGGGAAAAAAGTTGGCATGGTGTATACTATGGGAATTTTTTATTTTAAAACAAGCGCTCATGCTTTAATTATTACAACTAATCTTTTTTCCTGAAGTTGCTGGTCAGTTCTCCAATATCATGTCATAGTTTTAACCATTTCATTTATTAAGAAACCCACAACTGGAGTATTTCTGTGTAAATGCTATTAGCTAATTAGTTATTCAAGAGGCAATACAGACACTAAACTGAATATTTTAGGATATGGGTCTCCTTACCAGGCTCTTCAGTGAGACCAATTAAGACTTCCTAAAGAAAAAAGTAATGAAAACTTGTATAACCCAGCATTTGTAGACTATACCGGAAAAAAGAGTCTATAGAATATAGGTTAATGATTTAAAGAAGTTATAACTTTGGATGACTAGATTAAATATATACAAAGAGATATTATATAGTATATTTAATTACACGAATTCAGCCTTTAACTAAAAATAAACTAAAAAAGATTACTATGTGAGTTTGGTCATTTTAATGTTAGGTCCTTGAGGTTAGAATAGTTGATATAGTAAAATAACTAAAAATAATCTAGACTAATTAGACTAATCTGGCTAATTTTGATTGTTTATTGAGACAATGCAGGGTTAGCCTTGAACCCACTATAGCCTAGGCTGGCCTTGAGCTCATGGCAATCCTCCTGCTTTAGCTTCCTGAGTGATGAGACTATAGGGCACACAACATCTTGTTGACTCATGGTTTTGATATTTAAAATAAGATACTTTGTACTGTTTTGATATTTGGTGTTACAGAGATTTGACCTGTATCATAGTGCTCCATCTTACTGATATAAGAATGTATGTCATAAAAATGTATGACATAAAGTGCTTTATATATTTTATTATGTAAAATACCTTTATTTCTGCCTAATTTGGTGGTCAAAGTAATATACCACGATTATTGTGAATTGGAAGAGCACACTGTCATTCCTTCAGTGGACAACATCACCTTTTCATCCATTTATCTTTGCAATCATCAACAGATTTTTTTTGGGGGGAAACTTTCTCTGTGTGAAGATGTCAGATAAAATAAGCCTTTAAAATATATATCTTAGGCTCTACCTTTTTAAAAAAGGCCATATCTTTTCAGTAAAAAGTAATCCTTCATGTAAAACTGAAGAGTTAGTTTACCAAATTAAAACTGATAACATTTACCTCCCCACAGTCAGGGACTTGAGGTATGTGTACCCAAGGCTAGGGACCACCAGTGCTGCGTGGCTCTGTGACATGTGACCACCAATGCTGCGTGGCTCTGTGACATGTGACCACCAATGCTGCGTGGCTCTGTGACATGTGACTACCCATGCTGCATGGCTGTGTGACATGTGACCACCAGTGCTGCGTGCCTCTGTGACATATGTCCATACTGCAGCAATTCTTTTATCTGGAGTGGTTCAGAGAGCAGGTGATTCACAAGGATGACTTCCCAATGGGTCTCTCACTATCATAAAGTCTTTACATTAACCATATGGAAAGATCTTTTAAGGTGTATCTTTTTAATAAATTATTTATTGTATTTAATCTGTATGCATATTTTCCCTGCATGTATGTATATGTACCACATGTGTATATGTACATGTATGTATACGTATATGTACCATATGCATACTCAGTGCCCACAGTGCTCACGGAGGTCAGAAGAGAGTATAGGGTCCCATGGAATTGGAGTTACAGGTGGTTGTGTACCACCAAGAGTGTGCTTGGAACAGAACCAAGGTCCCCTGCAATGACAGCTTGAGTTCTTAACTGTGGAGACATCTCTCCCATCTCAAATATACAAGGTGCATAAGAGGGAATGATCTCAGTGCCCCGGGTCATCCTATAGACGACTGGGTATCTATTCTATCTTTCATTCTCATGGGAGATTTTCAACAGCACAGAAATGGATGCCTCTGCATGAAATAGTCCCTCATTATGTTGTCTTCTCCTAGAGGCTGGCTTCTGTTGTTTAGTTCAGCTCATGGAATTTGTGGTAGTCATTTGTCATGGGCTTCTGGTAGAATGTAATGTTTAAAAAATTCTGTTTGTACTTTCTATAACTGAAGAGTGTGTTTCACACTTCCACACCTTTCCTAACACGCCTTGCCCCACCCTTACCTACTCAAGCTCCATCACCAAGAACACTATGGCTAACCTTGATGTCTCCCTTCTGCCTTCTGGTTCTCACCCCCAACCAGTGCTACACTCCCCTCCACTTTTGCCAAAGCCTTCCCCTCTCTGTAGGTACTTCTACTGTGGTATATGAAAGTTGTGGATTGCTTTATCCTTTCCATGGGCTTTATGTGTTGTTGTTAAAAGACAGTCTCATGGTATGACTTAAGCTAGTCTCAAATACGTGATCCTCCTGCTTCAGCCTCTTGGGTTCTGGGATTGCAGGTGGCTACTACACTCAGTGAGCGACTATTTTTAATTACTTACTTGTTTATTTTTGTGCTTGTGTGAGTGTTCTGTGCATGCGTGTGAACCCGTGTGTGCTTGTATATGGAGGCAGAGGCTGGTGGCAGGTGTTCTCCCCTGTGACTCTTCACCTTATTTTTGAAGCAGGGTGTTCTTAACTGGATCTGAAGCTCACACTCATTCAGCTGGAGTAGCTGGTCAGGAAGTCCCAAAAGTCCTCTGTCTCTGCTTCCACACAGCTGGGATTGCTGGCACACACTGCCACACATGGCTTCTTATGTGTGTGCTGGGGACCCAAGTTCAGGTCCTCTTGCTATCTTCCCATCCCTTAAGTTTTACTTTTGTATGCCCAGTGCCTGATTTGTAGAAGTCTTTCTGAGTTTATTGCATTTAGCGAAGAAAGCAGTGCTAAAAATAGCTTTTTATTATGTTTATCTAAAATTTCTATTACATTTAGTTGTGTGTGGGGAGGGGGCGCACACATGCCCAGCACACATGTAAAGGTCAGAGTGTGGGAGTTGGTTCTCTGCTCCAACCATGTAGCAGTGAGTTCTGTGGCAATTATGGCTGACTTACATTAAGCTCTTGTTTCCCAGAGCTATGTAACTTTCTTTGTCACACACAGCTTCCTAACTCCATCTTGGCACTGTGGATGTTAGGCTCTAGCAGTCAAACTTTGAGAAGGACATGGACCAATAGTTTGCAAGAAGCATTTGCCTAAATCAGTTATGTGCAGTAGGGTCAAGGGAGCCAGGAGGGAGAAACTTCACAGCCCGAGCAAGCCTGCATTTCTTGAGCTTTGCCCACTCAAAACCCCTTTTCGTCTGGTAAATTATATGTATAGATAATTATATAAAATAGGCACGCAAATCAGACACCAGATGGTAATACATCACAAATTAATTTATTTTAAAATAACTATACATATAATTTTATCATTTAAGACAATGTTAAAAATTTTATATTAATGAAATGAACGTGATTATTTTTATAGAAGATTTAAATCTTGGTCAAATATTTAATGGCAGGACAGAGTATTGTCAATGTTTTCTGGACTTGATTGATTTTTTTTTAATAGTTATTAATACTGAAAACAGTGCTTCATATAAACACGTAGAACAAAATGGCCAATGTATGTTTAGAGCCATTTCAGAAATTATTATCTAATCTCAAGCCAATATTCGCTTAATGGTTGAATTCAGCAACTCAAACAGCAACTTTATAACTTATTTTTATTTTTTATTATATG